CTCGCGCCTTCGCAACCCGCGCCCACCCGCGCCTTCACCAAAAATAGGCGCATAGAATCTGCCTCAGATCCCCGACATGGGGCAAAACCAATTACACAGAACTTCCCTGGAACCTGCCTGAAACCAGGGCCTGGCGTTCGGCTGCCAAAGGAAATTTATTCTATGGGCGATGGGCCATGGGCCCCAGGACAGCGAAGCGCACTCTGTGCCGCTACCCTCTTCCAGGGTCGCCATTCGGGCGGCAGCTCTTCAGCTCGCCCCCTGATCCAGGAGACCCTCCAGGAGATGATGTGAGCTTGTGCTTTGCGCCAGTGCGAGTGCAAAATGGCCCAAGCATCCATCCCCGCATGGGACGGCAACAGCTTGGGCTGTTGAAACCCTCAGAAGAACGACGTCGTACTTCCCGCATCCGTGGATGTTATGCAATCAAGCATTGGCCATTGCCGGTGATTTGTGGGCATCAATTGGAGCTAAACAACCTAAACAGCTTAACCCCTGGCAAAAATAGAGCGGATTAGTTGGCTGATGTTTTTCGTCCAGTGAAAAACCCCATCTGTGACACGTGTCCCACTTCCACCTCGAGCCCCAGACTCTCTCTCACGCGGCTGAGTGCCTGGCATAGCGCCGCCTCAAGTCGCCCTTGGTGCCTGGCTCCTAGCGAGCCGTCGGCTTCGGCTTGGGGCAAGCCGCTCCGGCAACCCATTACCTGGGGTCTGCATGACCTATAAAACAAATGACGTCATTACCAACAATTAAGGGGTCGTGGACCCATCTTAGGGTCATGGAGACAGGCAGAAACCGGCAAGCCCACGAACAACGGGGGGCTACACCGACCTGGTGGAGGACTCCCAGAACAACTATTTCTGACGTCACGTCACCATAGGTGGCCTTTGGGAAAAATGGATGGCTCTGGTAAATGAAACAAAACCCATCTAAACCAGAGGAACCCATGTAGTTTTAACCAAACTCACCTAAAAAGGACGCCTATGCACGTCACCGCAAACTTCTGGTCAACAAATTGCGCGCATGTGACTGGACCCAACGCCGCTACGTGACATACGTGGGTGCAGCCTGGACAGCGGGGAGGAAACGCATGGAATCAGACTCCGAGCATTGCCCTGCTGAAAACATGGCCCCTTTTGACAAAACTTGCGCTATCATCGACGATCATTGCTCAAGTCCTGAAACCATCAATTGGCCACCCCTAGCAGCCGTTGGGCCCAGGCAAATGCTGGCCCTCGCTCCTGGAAAAGGTATTCATGAGTTGCAGACCACCCGCCAGCATTGATACCTAGGTCGCGATGCGCTCACTGGCACTTCCCGTCAGGCAGGCATTGCATCAATTGTCACACACACACACAGACGAACAAGCAAACACACACGCACGCGCGCGCGCGCGAACGGCTGTCAGCAATTCGGCGGGTCGATTTTGAACCTGAGGATTGAAGCGTCAGTTGATCTCTTAGCCAACCTGGGGCTTCGCATGAAATGGAACCAAGGCCCAACCATTAGATACCATTAGCCGATGCGACCCACGGGCTGGGGGTCTGGCGGTTGGCCCACTGAGACACGGCGCACAGCTGTTGCAAGTCCTGTCGCGGCAAGGCCACGGATGCGCCGTTTCAATTATGAAGTGGAATAGATGGACGGGCTCAAAGGGGGAGGTCAGTACCCCAGGCAATACTGGGGAGGACATATTACCGAAGCATCTATTTATCCGAGCCTCCGAGCAAAAGGCGCTCTTTGGGAGCATGGCGCTGAGCAGCCAATTGAATCGCACCACCACTTGAAACAAATTTGAGGAAAGCTGGCCCCAGCCGGAAGGTCGGACTGGAAGCAAAGCATTGGCTATTTTTTTGTAGCGGATGTGCAGGCCAAAGCAACAGTGCAAAGATGCGCAACATCGAAAGAACACAAGATCTTGGCCAGGAAGGCAAAGCAAACTGGCCAGCTGCATGTGTAACTTACCAGCAAAGCCAAGAAGCAAGGCACTGTTGGTGCAGGTGCGTGCTTGTGGACTGCCATAGCTTTAAGGAAAGGCGATGGCAAAAGCGCAGCACAGCTTTCACAACTGGAAGTCAATCATTTCCTATTCGCAAGGTGACAAGGTGTCTGATGTTTCCGTAGCTTGACTTGTTGCTCCGACATTGAAGGTTGGTTCATGGGGGAATCGAAGACCCCAAACCACCAGCCTGCCTGCGGGTGCAAACTGCTTGTCTCATGACTGAGATTTCGAAGCTGTTTGGCATTGAAAAAACATCCAGCGATATCCCAAGCGCTTCCACGACTGAACGGCTCCGCCAAAGGCCAGCTACGGCAACCCAATCCCCATCCATCCATCCGTCCGTCCGTCCGTCCATCCATCCATCCTTGGGTCTTAAGGACAGTCGGGCATGTGCTACCCTCCCACCCTGAACGCGTAACTTGACAGGGAAAGGTCCCGTTAAAAGGAAAATGCTCCCAACCAGGACCCGAAACGTCGGGTTCCACGTTCATTGGTGGGGGGTAGCCCGCGCATCGCGAAAACGGACACTTGGGGACGGCCAGCCGCCCTCTCCTGCAAGAGGGGTGCTAGTTGAAGAAGACGCGACCTCATGCGTTGAGCTGTGCGATGTGGGATGTGCAAATCCTAGGGAGCAAACTAGATTTACGCTGGTAACTACGATTCTAGGAACAACCTGAATCCCCTTGCCGTTTCCCAGCCAGGCATGGGTCCGCACGAGGTGCGGTGCATGGATATCACTCCCGACAAGTCACCTGGGGTTTCTTCATATCGAGTTCAAAAGAGACCACTGCCAAAGGGTGCAGCACAAAGCCGCTGTACCTCCCGTGCCAGAACCAAACTCAACTCAAATGCCTTTGCCTTAGCGCACAGTGTCTGTTCGACGCAGCGATTTATTGGGGGGAGGGGGAAAGAAGGAGAAGGCCCCAAAAACAAACAAGTCAGTGTGTCTGTACAAGCACTGATGCGCTGCCTGCAGGGCAACTCAACTGATGCAATGGAGAAGCTGCGGGCCTGGACCGGAAATCCCAAAGTCAAGCCCCAGGCCTCGTCCAAGAAAGTTCAGGGAGCCGCCCCCCAGCAAGTAAGAGGGAATATAGAGCCCCAAAAGTTGTTTTGTGAGGTGGGCGGGGGCGGGGGGGCAGGTTGGTGAAGGAACCCATGAAAGAGAACACCCAAGAAACTCGAACACCAAAGTTCTGGGAAGACTTCTGGCCTAAGGACTGTATGGGTCGCACTTGGGCCCCTGCTCGAAACCTCTGGGAGACAAGGCCTCGACCTCTGCAGTCAAGGAATGGTAGTACGAGTGGGTGCAACGCTGGCGGGATGAATGCTACACCACTGGAATCTACTGGACACTGGGGAGGTCCTCTTTCCACAAATGAGGGCCCTGCAGGCAGCAAGAGCCAAACGCCCAAAATCGCTCTCTATGGCCTTTTCCTCGAAGCAGCGAAACGCGCATCGAGCTGCTCCGTGACTCGGCCTTTGGATTTCGGCTAGTGAGAACATTGCATGCTGGGAATGTCTCAAATTGTGCAAGGCCCCGAACCAAGCTTTCTTTTCTGTATGAATCCAATCATGTAGAGAAAGTCCCGATTCCTGAGACACGCCTGCTTTCAGCATGAGGCGAAACTCCAGCCTGCGTAAAAACTAAGCACGCAGACCAAGCACCTTATCAGCACCCACATTCAAAGAGAGATGGTGCAGGATGCTTCCCCGGCACGGATATGGATATCCCGTTTTTGTGAAGACCCCCACAATGGTGCATCTCCCCTTTTGTTTTCCTTCGAAAACACCTACCAAAGGGCACCCTAAAGCCGCCCATCTGGATGACATGCCGCGCTCCGCTTTCGAGAGTGCACACGTCCTAGGTCTCCCTGACCCATGAAAAATGGCAATGTTTCATCAAGGAGGTGCTGCTGAACCCTGCATATGTGCATCTTAGTGTATGCATGTTTGCAAGTTAGTATATGTATGCATGCATGCTTGTGTGTGTGTGTGCGCGTGCCTGCCTGCCCGTCTGTGTCTGTGTTGTGCGGTGTGTTGTGCGTTGTGTGTGTGTGGTGTGCGCGCGCATGCACGTGTTTGAGATGGAATGTGCATGTTAGTGTGTGTGTGTGTGTGTGTGTGTGTGTGTGTGTGTGTGTGTGTGTGTGTGTGTGTGTGTGTGAGTGTGTGTGTGTGTGTGTGTATGTATCTATCTATCTATCTATCTATGTATGCATGTACGTATGTTTGTATGTAAGTGTGTTTGTGTTTGTGTGTGTGTGCGCTTGTGTCTGTGTGTCTCTGTGAGCGAATGAATGTGTTTGAGATGCAATGTGCAAGTTAGTGTATGTATGTGTGGTATGGTATGGTATGGTATTGTATGGTGTGGTGTGGTATGGCATGGTATGGTATGGTATGTGTGTGTGTGCATGTTTTTGTGTCAGCAGTGTGTCTGCCTGCGCCTGTTTGTCAGCCTGTCTGCCTGCCCGCCTGCCTGCCTCTCCGTGTCTCTGCGTTGTGTGGTGTGTTGTGTTTGTGTGTGAGTGGCGTGTGTGTGTGTGTGTGCGCACGCGCGTGTTTGAGATCGAGAGTGCGGTGTTGCTTGTGCTCTTTCGACTCTGACGTGCTTGGCTTCAAGTCTGACGCTTTGAAGCGCGACCTTGCCAAACTAGAAACACATGCGCGCTGGCTCTTTGCACGGGTCTGCTTCCAAAGAACTCTTGTGCAGCCGGTTGAGAAATTCCTGCCATCCACTGTGAGCTGTTTGAGGGACATCCCGCAACGGCATTCATCGTCCTGCGTGCTGGGCGAGCGGGACACCGTCCCGCTGCATTAAGACATTGCAGCCTGAATCTGCACAAACGACTAACCAACACTGTAGATGTAAATGCTACGTCCCCTGGCAGAGCAACAGATCATGAATGCAACCCATCCCTTGTGTAAGTTGAAGGTTCCCCATGTTTCTTAAGAACAAATCCTTATACCCTTGGCAGTAGATCAACTGTCTAAACGTTCCTTCGGACAAGTTGGTCAGGCCGACTCTAATTGGACTGCGGCTCAGCCAAGCGCCGCTCATAAGGCCGCCGGGCCGCCTAAGCTGATAAGCTGAGGAGCGCGCATTGGCCCGCGTTGGTGCCTTTCGGTTTTCCTTCAAAAGCATGGAGAAAAGTAAAGAATGCCAACCAATCAGTTGAGCACATAACACCGCCCTGACAACATATTGACAAATCCCCTGTTTTAATTCTACAATCCAGCCCTGTGTCTATGTTACTCTGTTGTCATTCTGTTGCTCGACCTTCTGCGGCTTCAGTACGGTCTTTGGTGCGCTCAACACAGGACCGCAAAAGTGCAGCGGTGCGCAACTGGCCACTGGCCTGTCTTTCTATCGCCGGTCACGTCGATCAGTGCGCCTGCGCTCATTGACATGGCTTAGCCAAACCAAGAGATCTGCAAACGCATGCACTCCAAATGTCAACGTGTTGCTTCCCATGTTGGCCGCGCTCAGGCCCATGTTCTAGCAGCAATGAACTTTTGAAATGCATGGTATGTAAGTAGCCTTAGCGTTCCCAACAGCATTGGCTTGCCATGACCTGCCTGTGATCGTCCCGCTTTTCGCGATCCCGTCGGTCGCGACCCTCATGTCTATCCCTGTCATCCCTCCTATCTTTGTCATCCCTTCTATCTCTGTTATCTCTTCTTTCTCGGTCATCTTTTCTATCTCTGTCGTCTCTTTCTCTGTCACCCCTCCTGTGGTCATCCTTTCGATCCTCCTTCCTGTCGTCCTTCCTTTCCTTCTTGTCTCGTCGATCATCTTTTCTGTCTTCTTCCGCAGGCGGGGCCCTGCGCTTGGCTCGCCCGTTTTCCTTCCGCTCGTCATGAAGATCTTCCTCGCAAGCAAGCCCGATGAGCAATTAACGAAATCCACCAATGTACAACAATAATGTGTGGTAAAGCATCCCGCATTACCCATCGCAACTGCACTTGCGCTGGATGGGTGAGAAAATGGGAGCCACACACAACTACACGCAACTGAGCACCCATACGCGCGTGCAATCCTGGATGTGTGTGCATGTGTGTGTGTGTGTGTGTGTGTGTGTGTGTGTGTGTGTCTGCGCGCGTGCGCGTTGCCTGTGTAGAAAAGAGTATGCGTGCAGGTGAGTGCGTTTGCGACAGGCGTGCGTTCGCGCTTCCCTGTGTGTTTCTCTGGGCGTGGGTGTTGCAGCTTTTTTGGTACGCTGGTGCATGTTGTGCGCTGCATGCTGTGTCTTGCCTTGGGCTTGTTGTGTGCGAGAGATGTTGCAATTGTTAACAGTGCTCGCTGTTGTGTCGAGATTCGAGATGTTGCTTGCGCCATTGTGAGTGGAGGCACGCGGGCATGAAAGACTCCTGATGGGTGCCCAAGCTGATCAATGGACGCCCTAGGGATAGCCAGTTCGGGAGAAATGGCTAGCGCTAGGCTCACTGTTCCGTCTGTCAAACAGCATATAAGTGACATTGCAGGGTCACCAGCCCAAATTGGTAAGGTGTTCGTGGCCTGCGTGCGGCTTGGAATAAACACACATACACACACCACACACACAGGCACGCCCCACGCACGAGCACGCACAATCACGCACAACTACGCACGCACGCACAAACACAAACACGCACGTGCACAGACATGCGCACACACACACATGCATCAGGCTCCGACACACGCACAAACACGCACACACACACACACACGGACAAACACAGACACACACACACACAAGCAAATACATACAGAGACACAGCCACAAAAACAAACAAGCAACCACCCACACACACACACGCACACCCACACCCCCACCCCCCAACCCACGCACCCACGCACGCACGCACGCACGCCCACCCACCCACCCACACCCCCACCCCCACCCCCACCCCCACCCCCACCCCCACCCCCACACCCACACCCACACCCACACCCACACCCACACCCACACCCACACCCACACCCACACCCACACACCCACACCCACACACCCACACCCACAGCCACAGCCACAGCCACAGCCACAGCCACAGCCACAGCCACAGCCACAGCCACAGCCACAGCCACAGCCACAGCCACAGCCACAGCCACAGCCACAGCCACAGCCACAGCCACAGCCACAGCCACACCCACACCCCCACCCCCACCCCCACCCCCACCCCCACCCCCACCCCCACCCCCCCACCCCCACACCCACACCCACCCCCACCCCCACCACCACCCCCACACCCACACCCACACCCCCACACCCCCACACCACACCTCTATTACCCTATTAATTTCTATTACCCTCTATTACCCTTATATTACCCTATAATTCCTTTTATTACCCCTATTACCCTAATAATTCCCTTATTACTTATTACCCTCATTAATTTCCACTCCCTACACTTGATACCCCCTATTAAATTTAATACCTCATTAATTTCTACACCCCTATTACCCATACCCCATCTCTATTACCCATCTTTGTCACCATTACCCATACCCACTCCTACACCCCCATACCCCTAATACCCCTATTACCTTGAAAACCCCTCATACCCCCATACCCCCTATTACCCTTATTACCTCATACCCATTACCAATTTTACAATAATACCTCCTTTATGTATACCCATATTACCCATATTACCCTCATACCCATACACCCATACATACCTCCATATTACCCATACACGATACACGATATTACCCATACACGACACACGTATGCTTTATACACGATATTACCTATACACACACATTGTCCTTCAAAGAAGTTCCGGACTCCATCTACACACACACACGTACACACACACGACACACGCATACACGATAATACCCATACACGACACACGATACACGACACACGACACACCTTCCATAATACGATACACGATATTACCCATACACGACAATGCGATAATACCTACACACGATACACGTATATCAGAGCACACGATATACCGAGCATCCATACCACACACATACACACACACACACATACACACACATACACATATTACACACATATACACATACACATACATACACACACACACACACACACATACACACACACACATACACATACACATACACATATTATTATTATTATTATTAATATTATTATTATTATTATTATTATTATTATTATTATTATTATTATTATTATTATTATTATTATTATTATTATTATTATTATTATTATTATTATTATTATTATTATTATTATTATTATTATTATTATTATTATTATTATTATTATTATTATTATTATTATTATTATTATTATTATTATTATTATTATTATTATTATTATTATTATTATTATTATTATTATTATTATTATTATTATTATTATTATTATTATTATTATTATTATTATTATTATTATTATTATTATTATTATATTATTATTATTATTATTATTATTATTATTATTATTATTATTATTATTATTATCATTATTACGCACACGCACACGCACACGCACACGCACACGCAAGACGCTACATACGCGTACACGCGCACACACGCGCGTGACGTGACGCGCACACGCGCACACGCGCGCACGCGCACACACACACACACACACACGCACACACACACACACACACACACACACACACACACACACACGGCGCACGCACGCACGCCGCACACACACACACACACACACACACACACACACACACACACACACACACCACACACACACACACACACACACGCACACGCCCACACGCACACGCGCACACGCGCACGCGCACGCGCACGCGCACATCGCGCACGCGCGCATCGCACACGCACGCGCACACGCACACACGCACATTACGCACACGCACACGCACACGCACACGCACACGCACGACGCACGCACACGCACACGCACACGCGACACGCACACGCACACACACACACACACACGCGCACACGCGCACACGCGCACACACACGCGCACACGCGCACACACACACTGCACACGCCAACACACACAAGCACACGCGCACACGCGCACACATCACGCATTACACACGCGCACACGCCACACGCACACGCACACGCCACAGCACACGCGCACGCGCACGCACACGCGCGCACACGCGCGCACGCGCACGCGCACGCGCACGCGCACGCGCACGCGCACGCGCACGCGCACGCGCACGCGCACGCGCGCGCGCGCACACACACACACACACGCACACACACACACACAAAAGCGCGCGTGCACGCGCACCCGCGCACGCGCACGACATGCACACTCAACGGGTAACAGTGCGGCAATAGGCACAGGCTAACGTGCAACATGGAACACACAACATGCGCCAACATAGCATCGGCACAACCAAAACAGAATGCCAGACGCACGCATGCTTACACGTGCACGTGAACACGTACGCGCACACACACACACCCATCACACACACACATGCAGAATAAGCACACACGCACGCATGCGTACACGTGCACGTGCACACGTGCACACACACACACACCCATACAGCCACACACCCACACACACACACACACACGCCCACACACACACACACACACACACGCCCACACACACACACACACACACGTTCCACGTGCCAATCTTTACATCATCAGTCCTCTGCATGACCCCTTCTGCTGCGCCCTTTGTCCCCCTCCATCTTCTCCTCACGAGCCTTCCTGCACTGATCAAAGCTCGAGTACGAGACTCACTTGTAAGCTGCTGACAGCATATTCACAACACAAGACTTCAACTAGGTCCGAGTAGCGAGGTTGGAAAAAGGGTACCCTTTTTTCTGTAGACCTTGTCAAAAGCCCGGGAAATTTCGGTGCCAAGGCATTGCTCTGGCCGCTACGGGCAGCAGTGCTAGCAAATAGGTCTGCTCGCACGGTCCTGCCGTCTTCATCCTTCCCCTCACGCCTCTTGTCCTGCAAGAATACATTAGAACTCCAGGCTTGCAGGTAGTACTGACTTGCAAGCATTCAAGCAACAACTGGAGTGGGGACAAGAGAAGAAGGGCATGCGCAACATCTCGTCTGTCCACTGCTCAGCTGCTGCGATCTGTTGATCATGACACAAGGTAGGGCTACTTTGGCCATGGCTGAGCAAGCCACGGCGCATCCAAAGCTTTCCAAATAAGGCTCAGTGCCTTTCTGGGGGTCATAAAGGATTGAATAGGGTCGGGTCCTTGACCCCAGATTCTTCATGCGGCTAAACACAAACACAACCAGAGCAAAGAACATACTTCAGTTTCCCAGGAAGAGAAGTCATTCACAAATACTCAGCATCACTCCTACTCTGAAATTGATCCACTACCCTCAAGTCAAGTTGCTGCCACAAAAGGCAAGCTGCCGCTGCGGGCTCTCCTCAGGCTCCTTCTCTGCCCGTGGCTCCTTTGGCGAATGATTCATCATGACATTGGCAAGAACGTGAGGTGAGTGATTCGTCGCGACCTGCAAAACATGGGTCGCATCTTGGACGCAAAACAACTCCAAGTCCAGATCTGGGCATCTTTGGATGAACAAACTGGCCTTGTGGAAGGAGAAAAGCCTCTGCAGAAAGAAGCCAAACAGGCCCTGAATGGCTCCTTGCGGACGTGTGCCAGGTCTGCCGCCGTCGCTGCCTTCAATTGTCTTCCCTGGCAAGGTCCAGTTCTACTTCTGGAGTGAATTGGACAACTCGGGGAAATTTGGGCGCCCAAGACTAAGCACATGTTGGGTGTGGGTTGAGACAAGTCACATCGCGATGTTTGAATGGTGCGCGAGCTACCCTTTGGCATAAAATGGAGGGGGTGGAGCCGATGTAATTCGCCAGCGCAAAGTTGGCAACCCTTGCAAGTACCCAGGTTGGGTTTCTTGAGAATGGGTCCCATGTCTGGGAACCCCATCTTGTGGTTCTGCCGGATCGCGAAAGGCAACCATAACCACACACGTACCACACAAACCCTCCGGACAGGTGGATATAATGTTGAACGTGCCACGGGGAATCTACGGATCCCTGAGCAAAGGCTTTTGCAACACCAACATCCAGCCACGAAAAGCACATTTCCCGTGCTTTTCGTGGTTCTTTCATGTGACCCTCCCAGCGGCGCGTTGCACGGCGATTCCAGCAACCATTCCGTGGCAACACCAGCGTGCAAAGGCAGCGGTTGTGGGGGTCAACGTGCCTACGACCTGTGCCCACCACGCTTTTCTAGAAACGAGCCCATGCAGTCACATCACTGAATCACCTTCCGTTCCCCGGAAAGCGCATGGGATCCGGCGTGAACTAAGCGATTTGCACCATGTACTGGACCCGCTGAGCCAAAGTACACGTAGCAACATGGCGGGTGTCCCTCCCACGTGTCCTCACAACTTGGGCTCGGATTGCCCTGGCCTTTGCGCCTTGAATGCAGGGCCCCTAAATCTTCACCAATTCCCAGATCACCCAATTCGGATCAATTCGGAGAAAGAAAAAATAGAGCAGCTTGCAGGTCCTCGCGCAGGCACCTTTCCACATGGTTTTAAGCCAGCAAAATGCCTCTTGAGCGGGCGATTCGATATGTGGCCTGGGTGGAGAGTCAACTCAAGATCGAAGGATTGATGCCAATCAATGTGCCCGGCGTCACCTCAATCATGCCTGCATGCCCATTCACCAGAGCGCTGCATGTTGGTCTCTTATGACTGGTGGCAGATGTTTCCAGTAAGATTCCCGCGAAAAGTCTCTCGGCGCCAGCGTTGTAGGTCGCGTTTCTCGCAGATTTTGCGGGTGCCTGCAGTTTGAGCACGGGGTTCGAAAACAAGATTCCCCCGCCAAAAAAAATATCAGCGACCTGAAGGGATCTCTCATAGTCTTAAGGTCAGAGCTTGCAAATTTGTGCACAAAGGCCGGATCCGATCCCACTCGGCACCAACTTCGCCGGCCACGCCCGAGGCTTGAGCCTTGGCTTTGTCTCGCCCTGGCTATCCTCCTCCTCATCCAGGCCTGCGGCCAACCCACGGACGGTTGAAGCTGCGATGAACCCCGAGGGACACCCCGAGCGGCTAGGGGCTTAGAGCATGAGGGCTTGCTGGGCAACTTGCACATCCTCCATTTTCATGGCCACACCCCCGAAAAAAACAGAAAAAAGCAGTCGGCGAGACACTTTAGCGGCGGTTGACCAGCTGTACCGTCATCAAACATGAGTATTGTTAGTATTATTGTGTTGGGCAACTTCCAAGTATCCGGACCTCCTGCTCAAGAGTCGTGCAGATTCTACGCTTGTCAGATTGTCGCCTGGCATGCTCTGAACCGTTTGAACAGGCAGGTTTATTTCAAGCTTCTCAAGCACCTTCGTTGCAGGGGCCGCGGCAGGTTGTCGGAACGCGTCATGCCCAAAGAGCTGCAAACACGGCCCCCAATTGGTGGACGACGCTGCCCTCCATACCTTCTCGGTCAGCTTGTTTCAATAGCCCAGCGTATTTTAATTCAAAGCGAAACTGGGGAAAATGTCGGGTATTCAAAGCGAAACTGAAACTGGGGGGGTGAGGGGGGCTTTTCTAAAGAGACTTGACGTCTGAAGAGTTGAAGAAAGCCCTTTGGTCACGTCTGGGACATTCGACCGTCGGCACGCACCGCTCGACGGACTCGAAGAAACTTCTCATTTCCACAGGCCCCGCAGCGACACGTGGAGCTCTCCGTTTTCAGAGCGCATAAAGGCTTAACTTTGCTAGTGAGTTGAATGGAAACCCCCACTAAGCCCCCAACAAAACACCAAAAAGCTAAGGAGGTGGCTGGGAACCACCAAGGTTTTAACATTCCTGCGCATGGTTCAGAATACTTGCACACCAAACGAACCCAATCAAGTCCTCGTTGCGCACGAAAAGCAAGCCTGGCGCCGGCTGCAAATGGACCGTGGATGTGGCGGGGCGCAGGAAAATGTCCTCCAGGCACCCCGCCGCAATTGGCTTGCTCTGCCAGAGTCACAGTTTGAATCTGCAGTCTCTGGACATGGCATGAACCGGCCAGTGATCTCTTAACAGTAGCAGAAGGACAACAAAAAAAAGGGGGAGGAGAAGGAGGAGGATGAGGAGGAGGAGGAGGAGGAGAAGACTAAGAAGCAGAAGAAGAAGAGGAAGAAGAAGAAGGAGAAGAAGACCAGTCCCCATACGGTACTGTGCCCACACTCCGTAAGTGTGCTCCAGAATCAACAGGGCTGCATGCATCCTGTTAGTGCGTCAGCGTGACGTAAAAAAGGGAATCCTGCACAAGGGCCCGTCCTGCGAAGCCGCTGGCTTGCTGTCCTTCGAATCCTGGGCGGGGCGCGCTGGTGCAATGCAGACACCAAGTATGACCGTCCTTCATGAACCATCGTGCTTGCACTAGGATAGTCTGGATTTGCAGAGGCAACCTCCTTTTGACATAGTCCTTGGCGTCATCTGCGCCCACTGGCAGCTGGCTCTTTTGAATCTGGAAGAAAAAACCCAACACATCGCTCATTTTGTTTCTCGTGCCCGACGTCAAACGGTCCCAGGCGCTTCTCAAATGGTGCCAGGCGCACCTGCTTCCAGCCAGATGCTGCAACCAGATTCTTAGGAGCCTGGCACGGGAAGGCCGTCACCGCCCCAAAAGCTTTCCTGTGGCTTTGGTTTAGAACCTTCTGCATGCCGCGGAAGATTTCAGCATCCCATCATTGTATGATGTTGATATGAGATTAAGAAATACCACCGATTACGTGTTCGGGCTCCAATGAACAATTCTAAACTCTGACGCGCGCCTCCGGGCGCGGTCAGCCGAGCAATTTTCCCGCGCAAAAGCTCAATAGATTTCAATTCCAGCCCAATTCAAAGTGTAAACGTCGGGATGCGTCCTCCATCCCTCAGAGCCGCCCACGACTACCTTCTGCAGACCCCCTTCTCGCCCAGAACTCTTTCAATCTGAGCTTCTAAGGGGGGAGGGGGAGGGGGTTATCAATCCAAGGCTCATGACTCATCGCCCACCCCTACCCCCGGGCATCCTTCAACCGACACAACATCTGTTTCACAACTCCGCTGAACCTCGCTGGTAAATGAACAAAACCCCTCCAAACCAGTGGAACCCATCTAGTTTTAACCTAACAACACCTAAAACTGTGACGCCTATGGCAAGGGACAAGGGATCTCTTGCGAGGTCCGCGGGCCTTCAGCTGGAACTTCCCCTCATCCTCGCTGTCACTCCATCCTCGAAGCCCGCCGCCTCCCCCTGCGCGACACCGAGCCCAAGTGAAAACGGGGCTTGACAGGGCTGCCTGATGCAAACCGTGACATCTTCCAACATTATGTCATCCATTGGAAGGGAGAGTTCAACAGAAACATGCCTGGTTTGCCAACCTTCTATTCATCAAGACCCTCTTCAACATACTTGAGCCTCCCGATAAAACCTCTCGGTCTCTATCTGCTATGCACTGTTCTTGCTTCAATTCGGCAGACTGGCATGAGGGCAGTGTAACATTGGCCTCCGGCGACGAGAAAAGAAAATGAAACAAAAAACGACACTCACGGGCAGGAGTCGAACATCCAAGTTCTTGCGGCGTGGGATGTCACCAATATCACTTTGCAGTTGCACTGCCAAGTGCTTGCGACACTTTTGATACCCGCGCCACCCGGCCTTTGTCACGGCTTCGGCTGCGGACAGTGACCCGGTCGTTCCACGACATGGCGAGCTGAGACTCTTCACAGTTCGGCGGGCTGGCAGCTGCTCTGGGAACAGTTCCTTATCACGTCGCTGGTCCTAGCTTCACTGATCTAGGATGCTTCTCAGTCGTCCATTGGTCAATTCCGCGCAATAGGGTCCTGTGCAAACAGCTTCAGCATCTTCAGCTGAAGAATGTCGTCCACATGCCGGCACTTATCCACCCTCAGGTATGCTTATGCAACTTCACTAGCCTGTCGCTTATCTTCATTTACAACCGTTAAAAAGAAAGGAAAAGCGGCCAGGCAGCGCAGCCGCACATGCCTAAACTAGCCTGACACAATCATGCCCAGGGTTCAATGAGGGCAGGGGGAACGGTAGAGAACTTCAAAGTCATCATGAAACCCGGATAAACCTCATGTCGAAATCCTTCATTTGGGTTTCACATCTTTCCACCACCTTAGCTTCTGTTTCCACAAAATTTCCTTAGCTCAAGCCGCAGAAAGGCGTCCCAACCGGGCCCCAAATCCCCGAAGGGCCGGTATGGAGTGAGCAACCTGAGGAACCCATACCCAAAGACTATCAAAGCTGGGATGGGAATGATTGCCAAGTGAGAGCCTCAAAATTTCTCCTCCAAAAACGGATCCAAGTGGCAGTTTCCCCCCAGCTTTTCTCCCTTGAACCAAAAAAATGCAGAACACCTCATAAGGTTTTTGCCAGGGACCCATGAACTCCTTTGGTTTCTTGCCTTAGCTTTCTGCTTGACTCGGGCCCGCCTGCGCCGATGGCCTGTGGAACTGCACGTTTGGTTCTCCGAAGGGGGCCTTTCCCATACACCCCTGTTCATTGATAGGCAGGGGCCCCTCCAAAAGTCATAAATCCCCACTAAAACCAGGGACACCCCCCATATTCATGAACCGGGGTTTATTGGCCAACGCGAGTCCATAGGCCACATGTCATGAGACAAAAGGGGCGTGCAAGTTTTTTTTGTATCACATTGGTCAAGGGTGATGCTTGCTTCTGGACGTCCCGGGTCAAGCAAGAATGAGTCAAGCCTGATTTAGGGCAAACGACACTTTTTTCGCCATGCTGCTCCCTGCTTGGAAACTTGGGGAATGAACCTTCAGAAAGTATAAGGCAATGGTGGATCTATCTCACCTCGCCAGCATCAGCATGCAATCAGGTTGTCTTGTGTTGCATGTTGATGTCTATTCCGAAAGCAAGTTGTTTCTTCCTATCAGAGGATGGACTGAAAGCTGGCACCGTTTGCCAGTGCCAATGCTGCCTTCTTCCAGCCTCCTCTCTAGACAGGCTTCCCTCCGCACTTTTGTGAACCAGGCGTCGCAATATCACTCCGAGCAAATGGAAAGGCATGCTTCCGGGCAAAATGTAACAGGAACAGGTGGGAAACCATGCAGTCCAGCCCAAACAAACCTGAAACGTCGAAATAGCAAGTCTAAACAAACGGCAATGTCTTCGGGCAGTGGCAGCAGGTTGCCAATCCAGCCGAGCAGTTTTGTCGAAAGTTCTGCTGCGCACCAAGCATGTGCAGCATGCATTCGTGCCCCCTAGTCTACCACCCCGTTGCCCAGATTCCCATCACAAAAGGCAATCACGCTCACTTTTTCGCCCACAATGTTGCCACCCACTCCCACCCCCTCCAGCTGCAAACAAGCAAAAGTGGTCAGCTTCCAGCGTGTTGCATTTCAATGACTATGAGGGAAGTGTATCCATCGTTTGCCCCTCTTGTCATTATTTTCGTGTTTCAAGGTGAAGAACCCTCACCCTTGACCCGAACAAAAAGGCTTCGAGCCGTTCTTTTTCCCCTTCCACTGAGGTCTGGGCAGCAATTGCTCCATGGCGTAGCCCAAAGTATCCTGTGAGAAACTGAGGCCCAAAGCAGTTCTTTGGCCTCAAAACGGGTGAGGCTTCAGCCCGTCCTTTAGAAGACGGTGCAGCGATGATGAGTCCCAAATCACCCCAGGAAAGACCGGCCTGGGCCAGCCTGATTAGATCAAGCGCTGGAACCAGCATTAGTCCAACCGGAAGCTCCAGTCATCCCAAGGCATCAAACGAAAGCACACCCCTACGACATCTGTTGTTCGATGTCCCACGCTTGAATTACTGCTGATCGCTGGTCGAAATCCGACAAAGAATGTTACTGTGGCTAGAAACGGCCAACCACTCTACCCTAGGTCCTCCAGTAGAGAGGTTAGAATAAGGGTACCCTATTTTTCGTAGTCTATTTTAGTAGGGGAACCCTCCCCAAAAGGGGGGAAAAAGGGCACTACTGGGGGACCTAGTGACTTTTGGTAAGGGAAAAAAGGATGCCAACACCAACTGGGAGTATCTTCTCAGCTGCATATCCCCGCCGCGCCTGGCAGAGCGAGGCCTGCCGACACATCTGGCCTCAGTCGCGCGCGCCGCGGCTCGAAATGGCTGAAAATGTGAAAGCCCCCGTTTGGCGGCCACGGCACGAATCAGGCCTTACGTAACTTGGTCGCTGCAACGACACCTCTGCAAGCAGTTGTTCGTTTTGCGTGGCCTATTCCAACCAAAAAGTTTAAGCCCACAGATCCGTCACCCAACAGCCAAGTTAATCAGGACATTCCTGGACATAGCAGAGGTGAGGTGGTATTTCGTGCAAATGCGACGTTACCCTTAACAAGGGCAACGCCAGTTTGGCATCCGAAAGTGTAACACCATGAGTCAACTGGCCGAGCTTATCTGTACCTGAGACGGGGGAAACAAGGCTAGAATCTAGGGTCAAATGCTAGGCTTCCAGGGATGGTTAAGGGAATCACTGCTCAAATTCAAGCATTTGGCCAGTCGAACGGTACCTGGCCTTGCGTTGATTGAAGTGAAAGCCACCATTTCTTTTATTTGGGCGTGGGTCAAAAATAGGTGCCCCAAAATGGGTTGCCCTTGTAAATGGAGGACCAAAATCCGGCCCCCCTGGCTTAAGTTTGACCCATGCCCATTTGATTTTTTTCGGTTTTTCTCGCGCTGGCCCCCAGCTCTTCCGATGGGCCCGGGCAGTCAGGGAGAGCCCCCATCCGTGCCACAGCGCGAGCGGCCGGGGGCAGCCATCCTCGGGATGGGCGAACGATTTCGCCGAAGGACCTGGAAGCCACAAGGTCAGATGAAAAGGTCGGCTTCAGCTTGGGCAATCCAATGCAACTCAATTTCTTCCATTCGCTTAAGCCCCCTGAACAAAAAATGGGACAATGTGTCCCGGAGCGATAGGTTCCCTTTAAAACCAGCAAGGAAAATAATAGACAAAAGCTCTTAAGCAAATGAATGATTTGGAGGCTCCCAGGACTGAAGCATCGGATCCACCAAGGTACCGCTGGCCACCCGCAGCGCTGCTGCTGCCATAAGGCGAGTTCACCGCAGGCGAGTTCACCGCATGGGTGCAAAAAAACAGCGTGCTGGTTTCATTTGGTGAGCTTGCGCGGCTTTTCACTGACTCGCCTGTGGCTTTGCCGATGCCGATGCCGAGGCTTGTGGGATGCGACGTTGCTCGTCTCGGCTCGAGCCAACTCGCAGGACCCCCATTCATGTCAACTTCGGGTTGGTGTCCTTTCCACACGAAGCGGGAAGCCCTATCATTGGGGGCGAGGGTTCTGAATCCCAAGTCGGACAGTAGGTCATGTAAGCTTGGAGTTCTAAAGTACTAAAGGCATGGCCCAATTGCCATCGGGCAGCTGAATAGGGCACTGCAGTTAGTCGTTTGGACCATTGCGTCGAGCCAGGTTTTTGGTTGAGCATTTCAATCCTTTTTCCTTGGGGTGCTGCGGCTGGCTTGCTGCACTGTTTGCTGTTGCGTCGCAAGATGACAGCCTTGCCAGGCTCAGAGCTGGATTTCACGGTGAACCATGCTCGGAAAACTGCAAGTCCTTGGATGCAGGCTACGTCAAGCGTTGCCAAACGCACACATGGACTAGGTGACAAAAGTGAAACGCAACTGGGCTGCCCTCAGATCCCCCGCTAAAAGTTTCTTTTAGTGGGTTGAATGGACATCCCCACTAAACACGACGAAAAGCTAAAAGGCTAAGGGGATGGCTGGGAGCCACCAAGGCAAATGGGACTATACAAGCAGGCCGGGCAGTCTTTGCAATGTGAGCCGCCCCTTACGGCCATCACTGCAAAGAAACAGGCACACGTCAGCTTGTCGCCGTGTTGCCTGAGTCATCGTCTTGCCTATGACCGCTGACCAGCGTGGTGTCATCCTCAGATTTCGCCCCAAGTCGCAGCTGGAAAAAGCCCTCAGGCCGGAGGAATCGCGATTTCCATTTGCGAAGCTGCAAATAACATCGGCAACACGGCTGATTACAATTGCCAGGCTGGAGGGCCGGTGGGCGGAAGTTTCACCAACATAAGCCCTAGAGTTCTCCTTCCTTTTCTCGTGTTTTCGCTCTCTTTCTCTTTCTCTTTTGCTTTCTCCTCTCGTGTTTTCTCTCTGCCTCTCTCTTTCTCTTTCTCTTTCTCTTTCTCGTTCTCCGAATCATCCTCTCTTTTTTGCGTTCCTCTTTCCCTCCCCCTTCTTCTCATGCAGCACGCCACCGGACACAATAACACATGAGACACAGTTATCCGCCCAGCTGGCACAGAATATTTTTCGAACAAAAGGCCACTGATCACAGTGACGTAACACATGTCGCTTCAAATGAGGTCTCTTCAACATCCAAGTGTTGTCCAGCGACTGTGCTGTGATGTATATGTTTGTTAATAGATTCAGATCATTTGATGGATTTTGCTGGTAGCTTAGTTGCCCTGCCTGCTGTTGTTTCATTGCGTTGTTTCCCGACCATTCCCTGCTCCAAGCCAGCGGCAACATTCAAATTCCTGGCCCCCGGCGGAGCTCCAATGAGCAGAATTCTTTGGAGCACATCACAACATCCAAATGGAGAAAAAGAGCCAGATGTTACCTGAACCACCGCTGAAGAGACCTCATCTTAGCTGCGCGAATAGTTGCTTCAAGACTTGACCCGCCGGGTTCAGATCTTTTTTTCCTTCGAATATGTTTCCACTTTTTGACATCCCTCACAAAACCCCGCAAAGCTCGAGGTTTGCTCTCTTTTTTTGGCCGTGGG